ACGAGAAGTTTAGCAAGCTCGAATTCAAAAAATGCACGCAATTATTTTCTACGATTATGTACTAATCTATGTCTTCAAAGTACATAGTTTGGATATTTGCAGCATTAAGAAAATTAACCTTTCAAAAATTCTACAGCTACCCTCCAGGATAAGTCTTCAAAAATCCTAAAGACAAAACTTGCCTGTTGTCCTCAAGATTTGGCGATGGGAACGTCGCAAGATACTTGAGCGGTGATTTGATCTTAAATTTTGAAAATCATTTGGGTCTTTTTGGACTCGATGCTTATGCACTTAATGTAATAAATATTCCTTAAGCAAAAAAGGCACTTTCACTGTAAGTGGCTTATTTAAGTACATAAGGTTAAAGTGAGTAGGGTATCAATTGAACAAATGCATGTTATTTTACGCCGGCTAAGGCGAAAATACCCACGTTTGAAAACTATGAGTTTTCCTTATCGTAATCTGCTTTCACCGATATTACACTAAGATGTAGATAACATCACCAAATAGTCAGCCTTTGGTATATGAAAACATCTTTATTAAAAATTCTCAGCATCTTAACACACCGGAAAGCTGGTTGGCTGGCAGGCAGTAGAAATATAGTGAAAATGAAAGTTGAGGAATTCTTACCGAGGCTATACACGAGCAGTTTTTTAGTGGGCAGTATTTGCAACTTAGAGGAAAAAAACACAAAGTATCAAAGCTAACGATAGCAATAAACACTATTGAAAACGCAATACTGGATTTGTGTCTAAAAATTAAAAGAAAAAGAAAAACGCACACAACACATACAAACGAATGGCCCTGTTTTCAAGATGAAAGCGTGGATGAAGCAGTTTGAACACGAGCAGTGATGAGAGATGGTCGCATATTCGAGTAGCGCAATGCAATCGCGAGCGAGTATAAACGCGACCAGAGAAGAACAAGACAAAGTCATGGAAAACAAATATATTCAGCGCTTTACAGTTTGCGGAATCTTCTGCGCATCTTGCGCATCTTGAAACGCCGTCGTCGCTTTGCACCTTTGCCCCAAGCACCTAAAAAGTATTCTTAAAGATTTGCTTTACTAAAAAAACACCTGAAAGCAAAGAGGTTATCATTTTTTAGGTGATGTGTAGAAATTCTATTTTTCCAGTGCCCACAATTTCTCAAAAACAAAAAGGTTGTTATGATTACTATTTTGATTAACAAAATTAGTAGTCCACTGAATAGTAGTAAGTCAATAAAACTTTAAAAAATATGATTAAGAGCACTCACCTATGACAAAGCTTTCTATCTCACAATGATTATCTCCTCTTAAAATTCTGAAAAATCCATCTTCGCCCCATTGTTTTCCCCATGAGTTGGCAGCTAGCCAATACGGGATATCTCGTCCAGTTGAGTGATCAACACCCCATCTGAGACATACAGCTCTTTAATTTCCAAATCCAAAATAGAACTCCTTGATAGTCTCACCCAATAATTCGAACTGAATGGTATCCTTGTCCCGTGTATCGTTCACCTTTCTCTTCAGCTAGTTCCGTATGCCTATAGACCCCTCCCGAATACATGAAGAAGTCTTCATGTACCACAAAAGTTGCCTGTACAGGACCGTTTGTGATAATCTCAGTCATGATGTCTTCTTCCCTGTAAACGTGACTATCACTTTAGAATTCGGCGAAACGTGGTGAAAAGCAATGAATTTTAATCGCGTTAACTTCGACGCTGTAACAT